GGGGGGGGGGGGGGAAGCAGGAAGTGCTCTCTGATTTAACTGTGTTAGCTCATACTGCGGTGTCGCATTGCCCGGACAGGCAGCATTTGTCGGCTATTTACGATATGGCCGAAACGTTTTATAGCTTTCCACGGAGGCTGGGTTATCAGACAATGTGTTACCATGTCATTGCCGTCTTTAAAAAGCAGAATATATTGTTAAAATAGGTCGTTTTGTCCACATTTGTTTGAGCAGCAGCAGCACAGAGGGCAGTCAAAGACGTGTAACTTTAGCCTTAGCTTAGGCGAAGAGATGCGCTGTAACGTTAGTTGAAAATCATCGAGGAAAACATACAAAACTGTGATTTTTATCAATGTGGGTAGTCCTATAAATGAATACAAGATGGGATAACCCAGCACAGATGGTTATTATGAACTCAAACTCTGTACAAAATCCCACAAGAGGATGTTTTTCTTATTTATTTCCAGTGGTTTCAGAGCTGCGCCGTCGTTAGGACACAGTTGTGATCTGTAATGGAAATGTTTAGTGAGCATAACTTTCCCTTGTAGTCACTTCTAGATATGTAATATAACACTACTTATTAGTAATAGTGTGATGGTACCTGGCGAAGTGGAAATACTCTTTAATTTATGCCATAATTCATTTTTAAAGCAAAGGATCCCTGTGTTGAAATGTGAGACTACTCTAGCATATTTAACAGAAATGAGGCAGTAATATTTGTCCCTTAAGTTCAGCTGCCTGACTTCAACCAGTGAGGATCATTGTGAAATGAACTCACAATTAGCCACAGAAGAATCAATACTTCCCCACAGACAGTGAGTGAAGTATTCCTTACTTTTACCTACTTTTCCACCCATCAAATAGGACAGCTAGGGCACATCAGAGGGGATTTAGAGGTGGGTATTCTCCGTATACCTGTGTATACGCCACTGCTTATTAGTAATAACCTAATTGTATTCTTTTTAAGGATGTTTCAGGTAGCAGCTAGTCAAACAGCCTGGTTTTTATGCCACTGGGTTTTTACAGTAAAATGAGTCAGGTCACAGGTGTGATCAATGACTCACTCATCAGAAGTTTTAGTTTTTTCTTTCCAGATGAAAGGCTGACTGGTAGCACAACATTTAGCAGACACACGTCTAAATCTGGGTTATTTCTATAAATGAGCTCATTTTCTTTTAAATGAAACATTAAGCTTTTAAGGGAAAAGAGCAGAAGAACTATTTCACCCGGCAAATGTCATTTAATGGCTGTGACTTTCATTTTGGCCTTTGTCCACTAACTAAATTGATCAGGAGGGGATCTGAGTGGCTCAACGAAACAGTTTCCTCGGGGGAACCCTGGAAGAATACATCGAAAATGCTTTTTGTAAATCAAATCAGCAGCTTACTGTTTTCAAGATATTTGAATAGTCTAAAGTTATTATTAATTGTTTTGTCTATAAAATGCAGTCAAAAATGTCCATGATAGAGTCTGAGATCTTAAAATGTCTTTTTTTTGTTTAACCAACAGTCCAAAAATGAAAAGAACAAGAAAACCAGCAAATATCAGAGAATTTAAAAGTATTATATATCTATATCTATCTATACACCTCTATTCATCAGCTTGGTTTACAGAGAAAACTCAATATAGTAGCTGCATGTGGGGATGTTTTATTTTAAACTTTGTCGAAGTCATTACTTTTGGATCAACAACGTAAAGCGAACGATGACACGTTGTAGATGAGAATATAAATGGTTTGTGCAGCAGTTTTGCAATTATTTCTCCAGCAGGTCTGAAAACACCTAATCTACCTTCAATAACCGGCAACCTAACGCTAAAAACCTTACTGGAGCCGTTCCAAGTATTTCACCATGGAGTCTCGTGGGGTAGACTAGACAGCCATTATCTACTAAATGTGATTTGTGGTCAGTGTGTCAGACAAGTGGCATATCTCCGATTTATTTACCGTCTTGTTTAATGTGCTCTTGAGTAAAGATATCACGTCCTGAAATA